CTCTTTCTCTTCTCTTCCTCTCTTTCCTCTAACTTTCTCTCTCTCTTTCCCCTCTTTTTCTTTCCTCTTTCTCTTTCCACTTTTTCTCTTTCCCTATCTCCTCTCTTTCTCTTCTCTTTGTCAAGCCCCACAGGGCTTGCCACTCACGGGTGAGGGTTGGGGGACCGCCAGCCGACTGCTGCCGCTGCCGTCGCAGCCACCCGGCCCGTTGCTGTTGCCGCCGCCACCGCCGCCGCCGCCCAGCTCGTTCCCGGCGTCGCCCCGGCCTGCGGAGCTCCAGGCATGGCCCTCCCCCCCTCCCTTCCATTCCCTGCAGCGCTGCCTGGCGTGCCCGGGACGGGAAACCCCAAGCCGCTGTAGCCAGGCGCGAGGGGGAACGCCAGAAGCCTTGCGCAAGGGGGGTAGGCCTGGCGACGCTGCGCCCTGCCGGGCGCTCACCAACAGGGCTGGGGGGGGGGCCGAGGCTGCCAGGGAGAAACAGCCACATGCCGGCAATCAGCCGGAACTGCTGGAGCCGGCCGGGGAAAGCCGCGGCCGGATGGAGAACCGCCAAGGATTGATTGACTTCCGGGAGGGGCGGGTCCCAACTGCCGGGACACTTATAACCACAGAGCGGATGGTGGTTTGCGGCTGGGGGCGGGGTAACAGGGCGCAGGGCCAATAAGGAGCCCTGCGAGGGGGCAAGTCCCATGAGAGAGAGAGAGAGAGACAGAAGTGCAAGTGCAAGTGCCTCTGTCTCTGTCTCTCTCTCTCTCTCTCATGGGACTTGCCGGAGGGCCGTGGGAGGGCCGCATTTATATAGAGCAGGGAGGGCTGTTCGAGGGCCGGATTAAACTGGGCCGCGGGCCGCAAATGGCCCATGGGCCGGACTTTGGACATGTCTGAACTAAAGCCTCCAAACATCTTAAGTAAATTAAAAGATCCAGTATCCCAAGAAGAAGTAGTCATCTGCAACATATAGTGTAAGGACTATAAGAGTCATGATGTGGGACAGAAAGGCAGAGGACTAACAGAGTATATCTATGAAGACCAGCTAGCAGTCAGAAGACACAGTGAAAACTCTTCAGTCTCATAACATATGGACAGACTCAATCATACTTTTAACTGGGAAACCATGAGCATCCTAGGTCAAGCTAAATCCAAAAACACTAGGGCAGGGGTGTCAAACTACCAGCCCATGGGCCAAACGCATCATAAGGAAACTGCGCCCATCCCATGCCGGCAATGGGGAAAAAGTTCCGATACGTCGCGTGACATCATGTGACGTCGCGAGTTTGACATGTCTGCACTAGGGGATTCTTGGCAACTAGGTATTCAGACAAATCAATCATTAATAGACAGATTTACACGTCATTCAAAAGAGACAATAAAA